ATTGAACTTAGGAGTGCAATTACGAATTTTTAGTGGAATAACTCGTAATTTATTATGGAAGAAATTAATTTCAAATTTCGAAATTAATTCCATAATAGGACGCCTTGTTAATTAAATTCTTTGGTCCCTATTGTGCCTAAATAATAGGAAATAAAGGAAACATTTCCTTAGTGAAAGAAGAAAACCTAACAGGTTTTGGAAGAGGGTTTTAACCTAAAAAAAGTAGCTATTATATGGCTGGCCATTTTATACACTGAAAAACCACACGTTTTTCTTCCTTGAATTTCGCCCACACGAAGTTCTCTCTTTCCGGATATTATTTGGATAACACGGTAGAAGACTGTGGAAGTTTGCTGAGGTCTTGGGACTCTGGAACTGGAGACGGATATTGATTTGCTTTGTTCATGCTTCAAGAGGTAACTCGAATAATCTCCGTATGTGCTAATTGTTTAATACACACGTGAATATGATACTGTGATTGCTTCCGCTGTGATATATAATCCAACAATTGGTAACAGAGCCTACTCGCATCTAATTAAATAATTAGGATGAACAATAAAATTAGTATCATGTAAATATGCAAGTTTTGAATTACATGCAAAGATTGTTTTGAATTCTGCAGAACTGTGTTGTTTTTAACATGAATATTTGTTCTGAGTATTATGATTATTCTGAAAATCATGTAATATGTGCTTATAGTTGATGATATTTGATTAGAATAATCTGAAAATTACATTAATCCATGAAAAACGCAAAAGTCACTATTTGGCCGAGTTGGCCAGAAAATCGGAGGTCAACAACGACCTAGTGAGCAATACTCATCAGCTTTGCTCATCATGTAAGCCGTTTTTTGGGCTTCGGAGTCGTTTAGATGGTGTTTTGGACGTTTTATTAATTTTCTGGAAATTTTTCAAATTTTTTTTTAGTTGTGTTTAATCCAGTGGTGGTAGGGTTCGTTTCCTATGGACTCCAGGGTTAAAATTCTAGTGATATAATATTTTACACGTTGACATAGGTCTTCTTCCATATCGGATAAACTCATTATGGAAAATCACTAGGTTATACTAGTTGTTGATTACTTGTATTTACTCTCCATCTGAGTATGCATGTTGGTTCAATGGAACTAGTATATATATTGAATGTTGATATTCACTTGACTTAAATTAACAGTTTACTCTACATCTGAGTATGGCCTGTCTAAATTCATGGAGTGAATAATCTGTCATTATATATGTATATTGCAAGAATAGCTTTTTTCCCATCAAAATTTGTTGTTCAAGGTGCATATATTATATATATGTAGTGTGTTTTGGATTTTAATATTCAAATAATACATGACTGCTTTTGATCTATTTAATTTAATTGTCCCCTAGATTAACAATGACTGCTTTCAATCCCCTTACTACTATTCTTACTCAAAACAAACTTGAGGGTAACGAAATTTCGATATTGTCCTAATTGCTGAAGAGTACAAATTTGTGCTCGATGAGGTGTGTCCAGAAAAACCTGGAGATGATGCTACGGATGATGAACAAAAGGCTTACCAGAAACGGGTCAAGGCTGATGAGATGGCGTGGTGTTACATTCTGGCATCTATGTCAAATGTTCTGCAACATCAGCATCAGTCGATGGAGTCTGCTTATGACATTCTGGAAAATCTTAAAGAAATGTTTGGAGATCAGAATCGTGCGGCTAAGCAGACTACCATGAAAGCCATTCTGAATACCAAAATGGTTGAAGGTTCATCAGTTAGGGACCATGTTCTGAAGATGATGAGTCTTCTGAATGAACTGGAGGTCCTTGGAGCTAACATAGATAAGGATACGCAGGTTGAAATGATCCTGCAGACTCTGCCTGGCAGTTTTCAGCAGCTTTGCCTGAATTATAACATGAACAAAATGGATTTGTCACTTCCGAAATTGCTGAATGAGCTGCAGTCGGCAGAGACTATTATCAAGCAACAAGCTTCTCCTGTAGCATTGAATTTTAAGGCAGGTTCTGCTTCTAAGTCGAGAGGCGGTCAGAAGAAGAAAAAGACTTAAAAACCCACTGTTGGTGGCACAACTGCTGGTGTGAAAAAGGTTAAGGGCAAGTGTTATCACTGCAAGCAGCCTGGGCATCATAAGAAGCAGTGTCCGACTTATCTGGCCAAGCTGAAAAATAAACCAGGTGATTTACATCTACTTGTCGTTGAAACTCTTTTAGCGGCTGTTTCTACCATGTCATGGTGTGTAGATTCAGGAGCCACTAATCATGTCTGCACTTATTTGCAGGGGTTATAGGTAACGCGGCGGCTAAGTAGAGGAGAAATCAATGTTTATTAAGCAGATGGTTCGGCAGCCCCAGCTTTAGCATTAGGAAACATTAGTATTTCGTTTGGTAGTGGTAGAGTTTTAGCTTTAAAAGACACATTATATGTACCTTCCGTTAGAAGGAATTTAATTTCGGAATCTAGCGCTATGAGAGATGGTTATGACATTAATTTTCATGATATTGAAAAATGTGTTATTACTCATGATAAACATTATCTCTCTTCAGCTACATTGATTAATGGTCTTTTTGTTGTTGACTCTATTCCTAAACCGTTACAACCTAAAGAACCAAATTATGTTGATTTACCAAATAAGAGAAAACGTTCTTCTGAATTGAGTGAAACATATTTATGGCACTTGCGTTTGGGTCATATAAATCTAAACAGGATTTCAAGGTTGATCAAGAATGGACATTTAAGTTCATTGAAAGTGGAGGCACTACCAACTTGTGAATCTTGTTTAGAAGGAAAAATGACAAAACGAAATTTTCCCTCAAAAGGAAATCGAGCAAGTGATAAATTAGAGTTAATTCATTCTGATTTGTGTGGTCCAATGAATGTCCAAGAAAGAGGTGGTTTTGAGTATTTTGTGACTTTCACAGATGATTACTCAATATGGATATATTTATTTTTTGCGTCAAAAGTTTGAATGTTTTGAAAAGTTCAAAGAATTTAAGACTGAGACTGAAAAACGACATAATAAATATATCAAGACACTACTATCTGATTGTGGTGGGGAGTACCTCTCTGCGGATTTCATTAGTTATTTATCAGAATGGGGAATTACATCTCAATTATCTGCACCTGGAACTCCACAACAAAATAGTGTAGCTGAAAGAAGAAATAGGACTCTTATGGAAATGGTTAGATCAATGATGAGTTATTCCGATTTGCCTTCGTCCTTTTGGGGACATGCCTTAGAAACAGCGAATTACGTTCTGAACTTAGTTGCTTCAAAGTCAGTACCTTTGACCCCTACAGAATTCTGGACTGGGCGTAAGCCTAGTCTGCGGCATATTCGAGTTTGGGGTTGTCCTGCACATGTGCTGAAAGTGAAAAAGGATAAATTGGAGGCAAGAACGGACGTATGCGTGTTTGTAGGTTATCCAAAAGGGACGAAAGGTGGTTTATTCTATTGTTCTAAAGAGAAGAAGGTAATTGTTAGCACAAATGCCAAGTTTCTTGAAGAGGACTATTTGATGAACCATGTTCCTAGAAGTAAACTCCTTTTACAGGAACTTAGCAAAGGAATGGAAACTCAGTCATCTGAAAAACAAAACGACTAGATGCAAACCCCGAAAGCCGATTTTGACATACCAATGCATTTTAGTAGTGGGAGAAATGTCAATAGACTTAATGTCTCGCAAGAACAAGTGCCGAAGTCATACTACCACAAAGTAGTGGGAGTTATGTTGAGCAGACTGCACAACAGGAAGAAGTCTTTGATATCCCTGTGGATAGCATGGAGACTCAGGTTCCTGATGATGATGTGGTTCAACCACAAAATCAAAATGGTGTAGATGCAACTGATGTAGTGCGTAGTCGTAGTGGGAGAGAAATAAGACAGCTAGTTTGTTATACTCTCTTGGGAGAATCATATGATAGGATCCCTGAGGAGCCTACTTCCGAACCTGTCAATTACGACCAAGCACTACATGATAAAGATGCCGATAAATGGGTTGCTTCTATGAAATCAGAGATAGAGTCTATGTACTCTAATCAAGTCTGGGATCTTGTAGAACCAGCTGATGAGGTTAAAACCATTGGAGGCAAGTGGATCTATAAGAAAAAGAGAGGTGTAGACAGAAAAGTGCAAACTTGTAAAGCAAGGCTTGTAGCGAAAGGGTTTACTCAGAAAGAAGGGATCGATTATGAGGAAACCTTCTCGCCGGTAGCCATGCTTAAGTCTATAAGGATTCTCTTATCCATGGCTGCTCATTATGATTATGAGATTTGGCAAATGGATGTCAAAAAAGCTTTCCTTAATAGAAGTCTTGATGAGTGCATCTATATGATGCAACGAGACTGTTTCGTGGAAAGTGGCAAGGAACACATGCTGTGTAAGCTTAAAAGGTCCATTTATTGACGAAAACAGGCATCTAGGGCATGTAACACTTGTTTTGACAAGGCGATTAGAAATTTTGGTTTTGATAAGTGTCTTAACGAGTCTTGTGTATACAAAAAATGGGATGGGGACAAAGTGGCATTTATAATCTTGTATGTAGATTACATATTGCTCATAGGAAATAATGTGGGCATGTTGGATTCAGTTAAACAGTGGTTGTCCACGCACTTTGATATGAAAGATTTTGGAGAAGTGGCTCATATCCTTGGGATCAAGCTCTTGCGAGATTGCAAGAAAAGGATATTAGGCTTATCCCAGGCTCTTTATATTGATACAATACTCTCCACGTTTAGCCTGCATGATTCCAAGAAAGGATTTCTCCCTTTCAGGCATGGAATTTCTCTATCTAAAGATCAGTCTCCTAAAACTGATGAGGAGATAGAAAAGATGAAGGTGGTCCTCTATGCATCTGCTGTGGGGAGTCTGATGTATGTTATGTTATGTGCTAGACCTGATATCTGCTTTGCCGTTGGCGTTGTTAGCATATTTCAGTCTAATCTTGGGAGAGAGCATTGAACAACGGTTAAGCATATAATCAAGTACCTGAAAAGGACTAGGGATTACATGCTAGTCTACCATTCGGATGAACTTGTGCCTATTGGGTACACTGATTCGGATTCCCAGTCAGATAGAGATTCTAGAAAGTCTACCTCAGGAAATGTGTTTACTCTGGGAGGTGGAGCCATAAGTTGGAGGAGCATCAAGCAAACTTGTGTTGCTGATTCCACCATGGAAGCTGAATATGTGGCTGCCTCTGAGGCAGCCAAACAGATGGTTTGGCTCGGGAACTTCCTAAGAGAGTTGAATGTGGTTCCATCGATTCAAGCACCAATAACACTTTATTGTGATAATAGTGGTGCGGTTGCAAATTCAAAGGAGCCACGAAGTCATAAAAGAGCAAAGCACATTGAGCGTATGTTGATACCCAATTTTTCCCTATGTATTTTTGTACCCCAAATACTTCCAAAATAGCATATGTGTGCATATATAAGCACACCCATGAGTTTTGGTATCTTTCATGATTTTTAAACCAATTTATTGCCTGTTTTAATACCACAAAAATCCAAAATTATTCCCAAATTAAGGTAATTTTTGCATATTTTTTACAAATTCATTTGGCATTTTTAAAGCTAAATTGCATATAATTGCAATCATAGCCTATCTTGTAATTTTTAGCATTTTATAATTATAAAATTAATCCCAGCATTTTTAAATTAATATTTATACAATATTTATTTACCCAGTACTCTTAATTTACTTTTAAAATTGTGTTACTATTTTATAAAAAATTAAAAAGGG